TAAATAACCCAAGGGTAACAAACATAATATTCAATAATAGTAATAGGGAAACAAACTGTAACCTAACAGGACTTAGCCTACTAGTTGGTTTACCCTCTTTATCTTTTATGAAGTTCAGAGTTTGAATCCTTAGGAAGATGGTGCCCAAGTATCTGACCTATGTAATTATTTAAGGGTTAAACTTACCCATCATTCTTAAGCAAAAAAAGGAAAAAAAGAAACAAACTGCTTACTTGTGTTTTGTATACCCCATCATCATCTCTGACAATAAAAATTTCAAACAGTGGAGATCCTGAAGATCCATTTAGCAGTTGTCTGAAATAGAATGATAAGTTATAATGCCTATCCCAGAAACATGATAAAACTTTAATTATTTACCTTGGACTGTAACTTTTAGCCACATATCTACCAAAAGCAGGGGTTATCTGAACTATTCTACCAAAAGGATCATCGGAATCTTCTGCCCAGCATGCCCACCAACCAATCTAAAACAAGAAATTAAAGCATTGAAAGATATCACTTCAAACTGCAGTCATAACATAAGTCCATTCTAGATAAAACTGACAGGGAAGTCTAATTATGATAGAAATATTAAAAGAAAAAATAGCACGTCATGCTTAGGTTGACAAAGAAAAAAAGAGCTCATGGGATGTCAAGGGAACCAATTAGACATTCATTAAGCTTAGTAAGATAGAATGGGATGTAGCATGATGATAGATGGCTGGCTGATTTCTTGCATCATATGTTCCTATGATAAGCTACTCAACTTCATTAGTCATTTACAAACCTTTTTATCATTTGTCTAAAACACGAGAACCCAATATCTGTAGCATATAAACTATACAAGCTCTACTAATGGGGATCTCCCTGCCTTTCCCCTTTTATCTCCAGCAGCAGCAACAGAAATTGCTTAGTGCCAAAGCACCTTCTCATTCTTAAGCAGATTTAACTACACTCATCCACTCATCCTCCTTCCCCTCCAACCTTACTTGCACTTGTCCTGTGCCGCAACCTCCAATATGCACCCCTTCCCTACAAAAAAGATAGCATGCCAATATCTTTTTGAAAAGCTCAAAATCTTTGAATTTTCCTTACAAACACAGACCTAGGTGTTAGGCCTTTACGGTAAAGCTCATTTGATAACATACTAGTAGCTGGTGCTGTTAATTGCTTAAGATTAACCATTAAATATTTGTGTTCTTTATGATCTGTGTCTAGAAACGAAAACAGGTTTAAAAGTTTCTTCCATGGTCAAGATAATTAAAAGAGGTTTCTTATTCTCTTCATGCAAGCTTCTGCCTCCGTTCAAACCATCCACAGATGATCAGTTGACACCATTTGTTCATCTGATTAGTCACGAAAATCTTACTCTCTGTGTCCTATTATGCAAATAAAGTAATATCATTCCTGTTCTAGTCTCATGAACCAAAACCAAACTTTCAAATAAAATTTGCAAGGTGAAGTTATGTATCAAATTTTCCAGACTATTTATAAAAATTCAAGAAAATCACTTATTGTTAAAAAAATCGTAAGCAAAGAACAATTAATAATTTACTAAAGGAGAAAAGGAATTACAAGATAATAAAGATCAGAACTATGCATATTTCTGATAAAAATCAAAATAGGGAATTACCAATCGACTGCCAGCAAGCTTAGACAATCTTGATGCATCATGATAACGCTCCTCTTTTATAGCATTCTGTATATGATATTTTAGTCAAAACTCAATTCTACTTGGTTTGTATATAGAAAGTGGTAGTAAAAATAACCTGACCTTCAACGCTGATAAAACTTCAGCCACAACATCCTTTGATGTTGCTTCTTCAATTGCTCTTTTTAACTTGGCAGCTTCCAAGAAGTCTTCCTTCTCTACAGCTTCTTGGAGTTGAAACTACCAAAACAAAATTTAGGAAAAAAAAATCATAGCCTATCCAAAAATTTCTCAAGTAATATGGGTCTAAACTGCAAATCTGTGGGAATATTATCTTTGTTATAAAATTATTTTGAGCGCACTAAAAGAAGTTAGTGATACAAGGCACATCAACTTTGAGAAACTGAAACTATGTAGTCACCCGGTTCCTTGAATAAACTCATTTCACAAAGTTCATGGCAATGATCAATCAAATCATCATAACAACAAAAGAAATTGGGAAGAAGTTGTGGTCTTCATTATCAACTTGGTTAAAACCAGTGGAAACAGATAAAACTTCCCTTAAACTATCTAGAGATATTGTCACCAACACAGCTCGATGGAAGAAAACAACCAACAATATTCTTACTGGAACAATAGCTTGTGTACTAAACAGGATAGATTTGATAACCATCAAGGCATTTTTTGATATCAACAAAGTTTAGAAAGTGATAAAACTAAAAGATATTAGCACAAGAATCAAGGTTCAAATAAAAAAGAAGACAATATCCCTGTTGATGCTGTTTCGGGCAATCTTCTTATTGGATCCATTGTTAATTAATTCATGCAAGCACCAAGGGTTTCTTGTTTACGTGGATTATCCAAAGGTTATTATTATGATTGGTTGTGTTTATAGACATGCAGCAGTGGTTTAATTAAGATAACAGTAAGTTCAGAAAATTATCATTCCTTGTATGCTATATCCTGTGTGTACAAACAACAACACTAGAGCATCGTATCCTAGTCCAACACAGACTCCCAAATACCAAGAATGACTTCAAAACTAAACAAAAGAGAGAACTTAAGATCCATGGAATAATATACTTTTCTCCTTAGTTACTAATTTTAGCTTTTCTTTGATGATAACAAATCCGGTTATCATTGTTCTGTCCCACCTTCCCCCCTTCCTCCCCAAACAAACAAATAACAATAACAACTTAATGACATCATATATTTTCCTCCAATTTTTAATCATCAAAATGAATATCAGGAAGGACATATCTCATCAAGTTGTAGTACCCAAACACCAATTAAAGCAGCCAGCAATTTCGAATGTGAAACTTATTGTCAGCTTGAAATGACAAAGAAACTTACATAAATTTAGATCCTTAATATCTGAAAAATACTGGAGTTTCACATCTCCAAGTGAGCACATGAATGTGATGTACGTGTCTGTTCATAAACAATGATGAGTCTCGCAGTTTGTTTCAAGAAACATAGTGACCATTCAAGTCTTATCTAATCGCTGCTGCCAATCATTTTCAATGGATATAGATAGATAGATAGATAGATAGAATTATCATGATTTCTTTCTTCTATACAAGTCATGTTCATGGTTCATTTATAAATAAATAAACAAAAGGATAAAGTACTCACTCTAGTTTATTGTCTTTTATCCGTCAATTACCCGATAGACGAACTACAATAGTGTGAATCCATAGCGTACTATCATGTCTTGGTTTCTTTCTTGTGGCAAACCGTTTAAATTGCTATAATTTCAGAACGAAAAAGTAACGAAATTAAACAAAATCATCGGCAAATTATTTAACAGAGAGAAGAAAAAAGAGACGAAAGGCGCCGCAGAGAGATCCTAAATTAACCATAACGAACTCGTAGGAGATTGAAAGGGGAAAAGGATGAGCTAACCTTGAGCGCGGAAGAGAGGCTCTCGGCCTGGTCGGTGTCGGAGAAATGTCGGCTCCAGCGATTCCAGTCCCAGTGGGAGCAGCTCCGGCCACCATCGTCTCCGCTGCTTGTCGTGGCGGAGTTGCCGCAGCGGCAGGAGAGGGACGGAGAGCCGCGCTCGGCCCTGAGGATGGATCGGCGGAGTGCCGGGCCAGCGAGGCTGAGGTGGCGGGCCTCTCGCGACGGAGACGGCCGGAGAAGGGTCGTCGTAGCCGCCGCTGCTGCCGCAGCGCCACACGCGTTCGCCACCACCATCCTTCTCTCTGTCTCTCTGGTGGGATAGCGTTACTTAATTTTTCATCTCTTTCTTTCGGTTCCCTCTTGTTTGTAATTTTGTTTCTTTTCACAGGGAAGAAGAATTTGGACCGGTGAAAAGACCGCGACGGGAGGGGACTCGTGGTAAGGAGGGGACAGGTCGGAACCGTACGTCTTGAAGACAACTTACCAAATAACTCGGCCGATCACCTTTTGCCACGTGCGAGTAAGAGAGTTATTGGGACGAAATGATTGGTGTGTGCCCATTTTCAATATTTCTTTTTTTTTTTATTTCTGTGGGGCGTAAATTTGCTTGAAAACAGGGAGACCAAAAAAAAAAAAGAAAATCTTTTTTTTAACCGTCCTACCTACCTGCCTTTGAAACGACCTTACGGGTGGGGCTCACAGCTTCTTCCGTGGCTGCTATCCGTCACAACGCAAGCGGGTGAAACGGGGTAGGCCACGGAACGTGGGTTCGCATAATAATGAGAGGCCGATGTTCTCATCACTTGTGTTTTCTCTATCATTTGTAGATTCTACCATGGGTGAGATCTCTCAACCTGCGGCCGAAGAGGTGGCTGATAAACCTGCTGACGAGGACTCGTTCAAGCTTCTTGATGAGGCCATCCCGAGTCAAGACATTGTTTCTTGCCTAGTTCCTAATTTACCAAATAGGGCTCGTGTTATTAGTCTTGGAAAACCTTTTTCTTTGGATGGGACCCCGCAAAAGCTTGAATTCAGAACTGGCAGATACAGGTATGAATTCGTGATTAATATTAATATTAATATATATTAAAGTTTAAAAATATATTATAAAATATTTATTAAAATACCAAACATATTAATCGACTTCGGCATGAGGGGTGGCTATCTCGTAATTTTCAGTGGCTCCTATTCGAATAAACATATCAATCGACAGTCGGTAGTAATCCAACGAAGTCGACCGTTGCTCAACGTTCCAAATTCCTTCGTCCCCTCCTCCCCACGCCGTGCAGGTGTGATCTCGATCTGGGTCTCAGGAGGCGGGCCCCGCCGTCGTGTCTTGCCGGTATCTTCTTAGCTGCCGTTGGACGGGAGTATAACAAACCAATATTAAGATTACGCCCGGTCGAAACTTTTCGCCTCCTCTGCCCTTCTTCTTCTTCTTCTTCTTCTCTCTTCCGCAGCAACTCCACGACTGCGTTGCCGATCGCGTCAATTAGTGGAACGCGTGTGGCTGTGCTGTTTCTCTTCGTTGAGCTGCCCCCCCGCTTTGGATTTCTTTCCCTTGTAGAAAGAATATCATCATGGCGACGCTGGCACCCGGAATTCTGATGAAGCTGCTCGACGGCATGAAAACGGGGACGCGGGAGCGCCGCAGTGCGCTCTTGCAGGTCACCGACATCGTCCCCGCTGATCTGGACGAGAAGGATCTCTGGCCCAAGCGCGGTTTTTACATCAAACTCTCCGATTCGTCGCACTCCATCTACGTCACCCTTCCCTTCGACCAAGACGAGCTTGTTCTGAGCAACAAGCTGCAGCTCGGCCAGTTCATCCACGTCGACCGGTTGCAGCCGGCGTCGCCTGTTCCTGTCGTCGTGGGCGCCAAGCCGCTGCCCGGCCGGCACCCCCTCGTAGGTACGCCGGAACCCATCGTTCGAGTCAGAGGAAGAGGCGACGAGAAATCATCTGCGAAGCACACCGCGGCTTCTTCCGTTCACAGGAGGGGCTCATGGGAGCAGAACCATGTTCCTTCACCGATGATTGTAAAGCCGACCGCTTTGGATTTCGGAGAGAGAACGCCGATGAAGGACCGATTCCAAAGCAATGTTGTCTTGTCACCACCAGCAAGTGCGAGACTAGGCAAGGAAGTAAGCTCGGCGTTCGCCGTGGCATCATCTGTCAGTGGGGCTCTTCTGTCCCGGATGGCAGATGCCAGGGAAGCTGTAGGCTCGGGTTTGTTAAGGAAAAGCTGCAGCATCTCCAAGTTTTCGAGGAGCAAGTGCGTGGCCGAGCGAGAGGCTAAGACCCCGAGGAGTTCCTCCTCCTTTCCCGCTGTAGGTAGATTGCCTGTAAAAGGCTCGTCTGGAGTGAATGCTGGAACAGCATCTCTGTCGATTCTGACATGTTCTTTCCCCTCCCTCCCGTTGCAGGAGAAGAATGCTACTAAGACCCCTCTGCTCAAGTCGAGAGGTGATGCAAGAGAGGAAGACTCTTCGTGGACGTCTGATGAACACAGCAGTTCGACTGCGATTGACAATGCTACTGCTGCAAACCACATCTCCAGCGAACGCCTGTCCTTGCCCGGAAAGATCAACACCCTTGGAAAGGTGAAATAGACTTCTACTCAGTTTGGCTCGTGGAATTTGAAGTGTCTTCTATTGAGGATGAATTGGCATCGCACGCGCTCTGTTGACTTGCAGGAAGCACTAGAGCAAAGAAAAGCAGCTCAGAGGGTAGCTCTGCAGGCGCTGCGAGATGCTTCTGCTACCGAGACCATAGTTCGGGTTCTCAAGTAAGACTACAACACTTCTCCGAGACTTAAGTATACGTACCTGGAACTGGGCTTCAGGTTTAGATCCTTGCAGGATGTTCTCGGAATTGAGCAGCAGCGCGAAACCAGAAGAACCAGCCGCTTGCTTCGATCAATTTCTGTGCTTTCATCAAGAGATCGTGCAGGCAGCGGCCGGTATAGAAGCAGTTCAGGCAGCTACTACTTCGGTCGCTGAGGAATCCACGAAGGAACAAGACGACAAGGACGATTCATCCGTCTTGCAAGCGAGAGATCACAACGCCGACAACCAACATGGGCAGTCAATCAAGAGAAGAGCAGCATCAGCAGTATCCAAGACCGATGAGAACAAAGTAGGCCTCGGCAAGCACCCAAGATCGGACTCGAATCACAAGGATAAGAAAGAGCAGGATGAGGCCAAGCTGCCGACTTCTACTTCTTCTTTGGGCAGATCAATAGAACTGGCAAAGCAGATACGAACTGAAGCAGGAAAATGGTTCATGGAGTTCCTGGAGGCAACGCTGGAATCGGGTTTTAAGACAACTAAAGGGGCCGTCGGTGGTGGCGGTCATCGGTCGAAGTCAGTCTGCTGCTGCCCCCAGTCGCTGATACTGCGGGTCATAAACTGGGTGGAGCTGGAGCGATGTGAAGGCGGCAAGAGGCCACTCCATCCAAGAACAGCACAAATAGCAAGAAAACTAAGAATCAAGGCAAAGAACCCCTAACCGGGTGAGGAATCCAGGAAACCGGTGATTGGTTTCTTTATCGACCGAGGTTGCCGATAACACCTCTAATACCTTTACTAGAGGTGCCGTATTGGTTCATCCGAGAAGAGCGTATCTCCAGCTTCCATATTTCATAGTTATTGATGGATGATGATAATATTTATATGTGAGACGCACGATAGATTACATTATCATTGTTAGTGTAAACAATCTGGGCCGTGGCTTCGGGACCAATGTGGCTCGGTTCGGGTCTGGACAATGAGGATCTCTCCGGGGCGTGCCTCTAGCCCGCCAAGGTGGCCGAGTGTGGTGGTCGTTACGAGGATGTCGCCTCCTTCGAGCAAGGACTTCTCGTCTACGCGTCCCACGGGGACCTTCGGCTTCGCTCCTACACAAAGGTCGGGTCGGGATGCTCGGCTCGATCCCTTCGACGATCAAATTAGTTGACGTGAAGAGGATTTGAGATGAAAAAGTCTTTTTTCTGTGTATGTCTCTCCTTTCTTCCTGTTCAGAATGCAAAGGTATTTACAGGGAAACTTACTGTTTCCTGATGTGCCCGCTTGCAGGAGGCAGGCTGGTAGCGTCTGACACCAACGTTGGTGTGGCGTGAGGGACCGAGTCCGGGCAAGTTAATGCGCCTTGGTCGGTGTTCTAGTCCGTTTGATCAGGTGTTGTCGTGTGATCGACGCATGAGTCATCATATGACGTGTCGTGCCTTTAGCATATTATTGACGAAGAATTACTCCAAAGAGGTAACCTTTATTGGTTCATACCGTAAACGTAGGATTTATGAGGATGAATTCACGAGAAGCTCATCTTCACAACTATAGAGAGATTGTGGATAATTAAACATGACAAATAATCTCAAGGACTATTTTGTTTCCACCATAAACAAAAAGTAAGCTAACCTATCACATCATTGATTGCACGATTAGTGCTAATACATTATTTAAGACATGTCCTGTGTGTTCAATCGTCTTCTCCGGATTTCATCTACTGTATATCCTATATCATGTCAAACCTCCTACACTATAATATGCATCATATAATGTGCCTTTTTTTCACCCTTAAAAGCTAAAAGACACCATCCTATATGAACCATATAATGTCTCTGGTGACCCTTAAAAGCTCAAATCTGGAAAGTCATATGTAAGAAGAATAACACAAATCATATGTCAAGCAAATGAAACATGTCACAATGTTCAAGCCATCTTTCTCATGGTAGGGTCCTCATACAACTTCCATGAGGTGAGGTAATCTGACCGCACCCCGAATTCTGGAAAGAAAAGGGGATGACTTGGGTAACTCGACCCGCCCACCCTAGAATCGACCGCATCTTCACCGTCCAACCTCGGCAAAAGCCTCGAAATCGGACGGGCGTGGCTGTCTCATCACGGACCGTCGGATGGGCGGGACGGCTAACGCCTGATCAAGAGGCGTCGCCCGCCGATCCGACGGCTAGAAAGGGAGGATTTCGAGCCGAGTTGGTTCCGGTGACTCTGCAGGTATATGTAAGCGAGCCCTCACCGCTGGTTTCCTTTCGTTTTAGTTTCAAGCCTTCTCGTGTCGTCTCGTCTCCGCCCTTGGCTTCCTCCTGGTCTCTTTAGATAGAGGCAAAAAAGAGCTCATGCCCCTCCTCCCTCTCCTCTCTCTTGCGCGTCACCTTCGCTTGGGCTTCTACCGCGAGCTTTCTCCACCTCGATCCCCTCGAATTCACCGTCTCAGATCGCTTCGATCGGAATTCGAGCCGAGGGAGGAGGCGCAGTGGAGAATGATCGAGCGTTTGCTTCTAGTTGGGGTTTGATCCGCGGTTCGTGTGTGAAAGAAAGCAGAAAAGAGGATCTTGGTTACTTACGTGGTTTACCCACGTCGGTGTTTCATGGGTCGATGAAAGGGGCGCCGGAGGAAGCACTGATGGGTTCCCAGCTTAAACGGCCCAACGTTCCTCGAGTGGATCCGTGAGTTTCGCCTTCTCCGTCGTATTATGGTTCGTGTATCGGTTCGCTGTCCGCGATTTCTTTTCTCGAAGAGGCCGACTTTATTTGTGGGGTTTTTTTGGATTGTGTTGTCTGTTCGACGGCTGTTAAAAAAGAAGAAGAAGAAGCAGTTTCTTCGGATTATTTTGATTATGAGTTCTTTTGTTTACGATCCTTTGCTTCATGGGAGATGGGAGATACGGATGTCGCAAAATTCTTTTTCTCTGTTTTTTCTTTATCAATTCATCGTTGATATGATCTTATTTTCTGGGAGCTTTGGTCGTCAAGCAACCATCCCATTTAGAATTTCTTTTCTCAGGTTTGATCAGTCAGATATATAATTTTTTGGAGGAGAGAGAGACGAAGAGAAAGCCTTTTTCTTTTATTTCTTTGCGTTTTGGGTCGCTCTCATCTTTTATTTAGGAAAGATATGATATGGGCTTGGATCTGTTGTGGTTCAATGGATTTGGTTGGTTTTTTTACAGGTCTATGCAAACCCATATGGCGCCGGCATCGGCAGCAAGTAATACTCCCAAACTCACCACTAACGATGCCCTAGCCTATCTCAAGGCCGTGAAGGATATATTTCAAGACAAAAGGGAAAAATACGATGAATTTCTTGAGGTCATGAAGGACTTCAAGAGCCAGAGGTTCAACTTGATTTCCTCTCTCAGTTACTATTGCTACCAAGTTTTCTTTTTTCTCTTCTCCACAGATGTGTGTTTGATGCTTATTTGTATGCGATGTTCTGAACTAATTGCAGGATTGACACTAATGGGGTCATCATGAGGGTGAAGGAATTATTTAAGGGTCATCGCGATCTGATATTGGGCTTTAACACCTTCTTGCCAAAGGGATATGAAATTAAGTTACCGGAAGAAAAGAAACCAGTTGAATTTGAGGAAGCAATCAATTTTGTCAACAAAATTAAGGTATTTTAATCCTAGAATTGTTTTTTGCTAGTGCGTTGGTAGGTGCAACCATGATGCAAATTATACTGCTGGCAGAATCGTTTCCAGAATGATGATCACGTTTACAAGTCATTCTTAGATATTCTGAATATGTATCGAAGGGAGAATAAGTCAATCCATGAGGTCTACCAGGAGGTATTTTTCTCCCAGTTAGTGTTGTGGTCTTTGATAACCAAGTATTGGCGATTGAAACAATCTATGCTGCATATGCTTCTAGGTAGCAGCTCTCTTTCAGAATCATCATGATTTACTCGAGGAGTTCACACACTTTTTGCCTGATGCCTCTGCAACATATGCACCACATCATGCATATTCTGGTCGAGGCTTTGTGCAACGAGATGACAGGAGCTCTTTGATGCCTACAGCAAGGCATATTCAAGGGGATAAGGTACATCTACAGTTTAATTTGCTTTTATCCAGCGAATGTAGATGTTATATGCTAAGCTTTTTTAGGTCTGATTTATTAGTTCAGATATTTGTGCTGTTATCTTTATGTGCATATGTTTCTAAAAGAAGTCAACATTAAGTTGGTATCTTTATGTTATGAACTGAAATGAATGAATCTTTCCATGGTTTTATAGAGAGAGAGATCTTATACGTCACATGCCGATCGCGATTTTAGTGTTGATCATCCTGATACAGAGCATGATAGGCAGAGAAGGCATGCAGAAAGGGAAAAGGATAGGAAGGAAGATAGGGACAAGAGAGACCGTGAACGGGATGAGAAGGATATAGAGCATGATAGTGGAGATTTAGATGAGGCAAATAGAAGGCATAAATTTCAATCTGGAAGAATGGATGACTCTGTTGCTGAGCCAAAGCAGCAAAGGGGTGACTGTACCGAGAATATTGGCACGTATAGCATTTCAGTTTCATCATCTGATGATAAGAATGCTTTGAAGAGTAAGTCTTTTGTCTTTGTTGTTTGATTCAGATGTCTCATGGATGCAGCCTGCTTGTGGCATCAATAACATACTATATTTTTGTCACATACAATGTATACTACCTGATAATTGCATTGTTATATTTCCAATTTTATTGTTTTTTGGATACTGCATTATAATTAAACCCATTGCTTTATTTATCCTTCTTAGAGCAAAATATAAATGGGTTTTGTGACTGTCACTGTAATTTTTCATCATCATTTCAATTCTTAACACTTATTTGATGATTCTGTACAAGGCTCATTTCTGCTATGTTTGAGATCATCAAGTTAAATTCATCGTCATAATTAGTACCTTGTTGTTAAATTCTGCTTTCTATTCTTGAGAAATGTCCATTTGCTTCAATCAGCTAGAAAGATCTGCCTAGTTAGCAATTTGCTCTGGGGAGCTGATTTTTCTATGCTTGGGCATGAAGTGCTGAACTCATGTGAGGTTGATCCTAGTAATAGAATTCTACATTTTGAGAGACACTTCAGTTAAGATTGTCTTATGAATTTAAAGAGTGGTTCATGCAGTTAGGTTTAACAGTTTGAGGAGATCTACTTTTTGCTTGGTTAAGTTTCCTGTTACAGTTGTCTGGTTAGAAGTTCACCAATAATAATCAATGGTTCTTTGATGCGCATTCTTTAATCTTGTAATACCTTATCTTTTATTCAATTTCAATGTGGCAGGTGTGTATACCCGAGAATTTAACTTCTGCGAGAAAGTCAAGGAGAAGTTGCACCCTGACACTTACCAGGAATTTTTGAAATGCCTTCACATATACAGCAAAGAGATAATAAACAGAACGGAGTTAAAGAATCTGGTAAGTTTTTGATTATTCAGCTTCCACAACAAAGTGATTATGCTGCCCTTGCTTGCACCATTTTTTCACCTACTGCTACGCTTCATGCATCTTATTCTTGTCAGCATTGTACTATTTTGTGAACATTGCTTAAGTTGCCACAAATGTTGGCATGTTTAATTGCACTTTCTTAATCACTGCTGCCCTTGCTTAAACCATTTTTTCACCAACTGCTACCCTTTATATATATTAGTCTTGTCAGCATTGTACTATTTTTTGAGCATTGCCTAAGTTGCTGCAAATGTTGGCACGTTTAATTGCACTTTCATAATCACTGCTACCCTTGCTTGCATCATTTTTTCACCTACTGCTACCCTCCTCAATTTTACCTTGAATATATTTGTGACCAGTGTTGGTTCTCTTGTATCAAAGAAAGTGCATGTAATATGCTTAGTTACCATAGAAACAGTGTTGAGATGTTAATCAGGCAAAATAAAAAAAGAATATTTAAAAATGTATTAACCAATTTTAATGC